TGGCTTTAGAAAATGCGTGACTAAAATTGACTCGCGATTTATTAAAAAAACCTAAACATCGGGGATAATATTCACAAAATATAAAATATCACAAAATATTTTGTTAAGACTTTTCTTGATGAAAGAAAATATTAAGTCTTAAACAAAATATTGAACAAACGGTTTTAGTGATGAATACTTCAGATTTTAGCTTTCTCACTGACGTAATGTCACGTGACATTGAGCTATTGAATGTCTGACTGCAATATGCAAGACATCCTGAATTGTTGGTCGAATTCARTAGCCGCCATCTTAGTTGAATTTAACAAAAAAATATCTGACATTAGCCCGGCTTGTTATATCAACCACGTTGCCGCCTGTTCTTTTGCTATTTCAGTCATCCTCTTGGGAATGCATTGCATTTGGATTTTTTTTCTTTTTTTTTTTCGTTTTTGATGATGCCCAAAAGGCACTAATAAAGCTCTCGGAGAATATGATTGAAAATGTACACGATGCATGGCTTTACTGTCATTAATAACAAGACAATGTATGTCGCGATCGGGTGTTTTACCTGACCACTCGGAACTTGTTTCAGTCGTCGTCGTTGTCATCATCATCGTTCTTGGTATCGGCCAAAGGGTAGAAGTTTCATTCCATTGGTCAACTGGTCTATACTTCACTTTGAAGCCTCGCCCCTTACAGTCCGAWCTTGAATAAGAGGAGGTAAAAACAACACTTTGTTGTGTCCAGGGTAAGAAAATAATTGGCTTACTAGGTCTATTCCAGTTGCAGTAGGATTTGCCTTTGATGTACACATTATCGAAGTCGTTACAAACTCTGTACCTCTCCTGTACGAAACATTTATAAAGATCCAGTTCTACRAATTCAAGCYGCAGCTCTTTAGAAGTATATGGCATGAACCATGTATAATGAAGGTCACCTGGGTATGGCCCGGGGTAATTTGGGCTGCTAAATGAGCCTTCTGTATACCAAAGATCTGTAAAAGAAGAAGACAGATCAAAATGTTCACTCTATTTTCAGTTCTATTCAAAATTGACAATCCAGTGGCGGATCCAGGGGGGGGGGGTGCGCACCCCTCCCTGGTTCGAATTTGTGCCCCTACTTTGAAGATAATTAATACAAAATAATGTTATTTTCTCTTTGATTCTAAGGGGTGCACCCCTCGCTGGGTTAATTTTGTGCGCAGCACCCTCCCCTGAACAAATTTCTGGATCCGCCCCTGCAATCAGTAAGCTATCGTAGCCTCCTTCGCAGGCTATCCTATATATATATTATCTGTTGGGGGTCGAACCCGAGGATCAAAACGAGCCAAAGAGATGCCTGTGGAGGAGGCTATTKAGCAGAACTTACATTTGTATCTTCCTGCTTGGACATTTATTTGCATGTAGATGATTACTATTCCTGTAACTGCAAGGAGTAAAGAGGGTTAGTGGTGATAATGTGTGAATCACAACATTACAATGTAGTYGAGTGCGCAAAAGCGATAAACAAAACTGAGAGYATGAAATGTTCGCGTGATTTTCTCCAAATCTAACATAARAATTTCTTTAAATCTTTGATATTTTGTTTGTCTTGAATAGGGKATTCTTAGGAGTTAACAGTTTTTCTACAKCACATCTGAATCGCGCGCACTYTTATTTTTTCCAATTTTCGATTTTTCTCGATTTTCTTGCGTTGAARACTTTGATTTTAATAAAAYATACWTTARTACAAACTTCAAACCAARAGTAACAAYTSGTATAACTTCTAAAATGATCCAKCAAACAGAACATTGTCAACGCRACGATTRAAAAAGTTCWGTTTGGTGATCACGAAACTGTATCGAAACRCCTTAAAATCGAYCACCAAGAATGTATTATGTTTCATTATTTCAATATGCTATGCAAGAGCCGAGCTGCGATTTCCGTTCATCAACAAACGCTTTAAAAAACAAATTCGAAGAACCACGATATGGTTCGTTTCAAGTCACCTTGAACTCGCATCTTTACCATCAACATCATTTACGGATTAGAATATCATCTACATTAGGATTACAATTTGAAATATAAAAATTATTTATYATTATTATTCTGTCATTATTTCATGGTTCACTTCTCTTTCTTCCACATAATAAATGTAGTGGTAACATAGAGATTCACGTAATCTGTTAGTGATACTTGTGTCGGTGTGTTTGTATCTTCTCGATCGTTTTATTACAGAAATTACAATCACAGAATTTTGATMAGTTTGCACATCCTTCGCTGCTAGCCTGCGTCACATCCGGACTTTTTTTCCGGCTAAGTCCGTCTGCGACAAAAATTCCTGATGTGACGCAGGCTACTCGCTGCTCGCATTTTTAAAATGTAGGCAGTAGTACTGCGTAACGACAGGGTCTTGTTTTGGCTGCTAAAAACAATTCACACTTTGCATCAACTGATATCTTTTCTACCGGTCACTGTCACTATTACATTCATACCTAYCAATAAAACTATATTGAAACCTCGATCTYGTATTTACAGTCGACGAATTATCTTTTAGCAAGTTTAGATGATTATTTACGAATATAAAAACGATGCGGGTGAATATAAAATAGCCTACTTACCWAARACGTCACGYATTGTCAAGTCGAGCCTTYGTCTCATCATGCCCAGTCGATGCCTTCTGATTCTTTATAAGTAAATGAAGAACCCTGTGCCAGTTAGTGATGTTACTTGTATTTGGTTGTAATTTCTGTAGAGGTTTGATTCCGGTATTTCAGATCTTCAAAATGTTTTAGTCTGGCGAACTTTAACTGAAGGTTTACTGAAACCGTGAATGTTCGGTAACTTCGATCCTCTTCAACTTTGTATAACGAACAGTGTACAAAACCTCGAAACGATGAACCAACGGAAAATACTGAAACGCGAATTTAGATGTTTGTCATCCGCACAGTTATTCTTTTTAGACATTCAGATAAATACGGCCAATATAAACAAATCCTCTAAAGAGGAAAAAAAATTACCGACGTGACGTAAAGAGAGAGACGTACGTAGAGACTATATCATTAATATTAATCCAAACCATTGTTGGGTATTCATAAAAGTCAATGATTACTGACCTATTTCAAAGAAACGTTGTCATCGCCGATAGGATAAGGCGATAGACGAAAAGCAATTGGAGATGGGTCATCCCAAGATCCAAGAATCGCTAAAATGACGTGTTTATTCTCGTCAAGAACCTTGGTGTTGACACTGATTCAACGTTGTTTGTAGTCGACGAAACCATTTCAGTCTCGGAATGGCCAATCACCTATTGCCTTTGGCGATGACAACGTTTTTAAAAAGTACGTGTATACATAATATATCAATCCAAGAGAGCATAAAGGAGACATCTACATTCCCGGTTGGGCTATTTTTAGAAACCGGATGCAGTTTAAGTTTCGCATTACCCTACCCCCAGAATCGTAYCCTGTCGCTTCTCTTSTCTTGTTGATCTCACACTGTGGTTGATGGGAAGGATTTATTGAGTTCCCGCCGCGAGCAAAAGAGTGAAACAAATGACGACTGGGTACGATTCTGTCCTACTCCCGTGCAACTTCAACTTGCGTGCGTGCGCTCTTTTCGTTTGTTGTTTTAATCACTAAAAACGAAACGGAAATAGTTTCCCTCTCTTATTTAGTCTCTTGAGCCGACCTTTTCACTTCCATTGTTAACCAACCATTTGGATTACATACCTCACTGATTCAATATGAACTTACCAGGCAATCCACTCTACATATTGATTGATAGAGAACGAAAAGTCAATGAAGTAAGAATTAAAAAAATAGGTCAAACCCTTATGAAATATTTAAAAAGAAGTTTTATTAAAAGACAATGGAACATTACCCGAGGTCCTTGGAGATCCGAGTACCTATGGATAACTCTCCGCTGGAGCGCTTATCTCGTGCATAATTAGCTTATTCGGCCTCCGTACATACAACCGACTTCAGGAGCAATTWAAAAATGTCATAGCAAGCCTTGATTTCAAATTATAAGCAACTAGTTTATGGCATCATTAATCAAGACCCTGGAATTCTCCATTCTTATATATTTATTTCAAATSTTCTCCGTCCTGAATTAGCTTCATTAGAAGTACTTGATTCATGGTTCAGTGTTCGGACATTTCCCTGAATATCGTTATTGTAACGCTCTGTAATATCCACATTTCTAGTTCCCTGATCAATAYCGTCTAGACTCGGATACGATTCTCTCAGAACTGCTTCATAAGACGGCGGAGGCTCAAAACTCTGCGAACGATTCAAATCGTCGCTTTCCCATACCTCATCATAACTTGGTGGTGGATCATGACCTACAGTCTCAGGTAGTTCATTATCATAGGTTTG